TACATATATTCTCTTCTATTGGAACAAAGATCCCCAAATTCCTGTACTTAGGAACCACACACTTATAAGATTACTGTCTTCTCAGGATTCAGCCTTGGGTTACTGGCTTTCATCTAACCTTAACAGTATCAAGGCATTGGTTCAGAACATGAATATCCTCTCCTGAGTTAAATATTATGGAGAAAAAATGTTGAATCATCCCCAAACTCCTGATGATCATCCTTAGGGACTTCATATAGAGGTTAAAGAGCATTGGGACAAAAGAGCACATTTTTGTAGCCCACAGCCAACTTCCAAGGTACACAATCCTGTTCCAGTTTGATTGGAACTATTTTAATACAATGCCTCCAATCTCCAACTCACAGGGGCAGTTTAGGGGAAACATCATGGTCAATACTATCAAAGGTAGCTGAGAGATAAAGCAGTACAAACAGTTGTCCTCTTTATTTTTCCCTCACAAAATTGTCATACCATCACTGCCATATGTCACTGGCACCCACAGAATAATCAAGTTGCCATAAATCTTTCCCTCTTCCATGGTAATGTGAACCCCACGTCTATAGAACGTAGCAGTTATACTCTTTAATCTGACAAGTTTAAGTTCAGGATTCATTCAAAGTTTATTCTGATCGGTTAGTTATCCATAGTTACCAATTTATGGCCATTTAGTTTTTACAAATCATTTACAAAATAGCTTTGTAATGATAATCCTTTTTTTTTTCAGGCTGGAGGATTATGTCACTCCTCACCCACCCAATATTATCCTTCCTTAATCTGCCCTTTGTAAATAAAGTTAAGCTTATTTATTTCCATGATAGAATAACAAAATCTGTAGAAAAAGAAGGAAAGAAAAAAAAAAGACTATATTAGAGAGTCCAAACTTGTTAACAATAATTTCTTCATCCCATATGTGTAGATTCTAAACTAAATGGACTTTAATGACAAACAGGAGAAATCTCTTCTTCTTTTTCAACCAATGTTGTTGCTGAAAGTTGCAGTTCTGTTTTGGTTATGGGTCAAAAATTACTCAAAACAATTATATTTTCAAAGATAAATGTTCCAGCTATGGCTGTAAGCAGAAAATTTCAATATAGTTAAGCAGATACAAATACACATAGAATTCCTCTCTAATAATACAGATTATCAGAAGTTTTCCAGAAGTATGGATGACAAAGCACAATGTTAAAAAAATCTGAGCTACAAATCAGGAAATATTCAGCTTAAATCTTGCCTTGGCTGTGAATTCAAACCTGATCTTAAGCAATCTATATTATCTCATTAGCATCAGTACCTTCCCATCTGTAATATGGGAATAATAAAACTCTACCTTTCAAATTGTCGTAAGACAATAGTATACATGAAACACATGTTAGTTCTTCATACGTATTATGCATTATTATCCCATTCTTTTTGTCCTTTAGTTAAAAGTAACCTAAAATCCCTGAAAACTGTTGAAGACACCAAGCTGTTGTCTAGTCCAACACTTGGCTTCTACAATGATCAACCAAATGCTTTTGGGAAGTCCACAAGTAGGACATGAGTATATTAGCACCTTCCCACTCATGTTCTCTAGTAACTGGTGCTAAAACACACATCACCCTTGAAACTAAATGCAACGTACCACCACCATTAAGAGCTACTGATAGCTCCATCCTCCTTGACTTTGTAGCAACCTTTTTGTTTTTAATTTCGAAGATATTGTTGATCTCTGCATCTTGTAATAGCACACTCCATAGATTCATTATTCACTTCCTGAAGTAGTGTTTCATGAATCATCTGCCCACAAACTTTGTGTTTATAACCCCAAGTTCTATTTATCTTGTTTCTCCACTCAGGCATGATTTTTACACTTCCTCGTCATATATTCTCCTCTTACTTATCCTTTTTTCTTTTTTCTTTTTTTGCAAACCAATGAAAACTTGGCCCAGGCAGACTGGGTTCAGATAATATGCTTAAGCTGGTAACTGGATGAGTTCCTTTCATGATTTCACACAATGCACTGAATTGTATAGTAATGAAATGGCTGGGTTTATACTACTGGAAGCAGAAACAAAGGCAAGATTAACACAAATGAAGCTTCAGAGATTGTCCAAATGCAGCTCCTGAGCAGAAGTGGGGTGGATGGAAAACAACTTTTCCAGCTCCACAGCATCCTTTGGGAAGTTCACTGTCAAAATTACCCAATATACCAGCATAAAGAAATGATTACAGCGATGGACTAGAACCGAGGAGACCCATGTGCAAATCCATTCTCAACCACAGAAGCTCTACAGTGTGGTTTTGAGGCAGTTACTTTCTCTCAGCCCAATCTACCTCACAGCTTGTTGCTGTGGGGAAAAACTGGAGATGCAAGCGCCACGTATGTCACCCTAAGCTCCTAAAGGAAAGGTGGGATAAAAACCTAAGAAACAATAAATACATTCCAAGTGGGATGGATAGATTGGGGCTGATGTTTTTATTGAGCTTTCCCTCAAATTTACACCTCAGCGAAAAACTTTGGATGTTTTGTCTCAAATGTGCATAATTTTATAGCCCTCTGCACTGAACTACATTCGCTTCTTTAATGCCTATAAATTTGCAGAAATCCTTTTCAGGCTCTGGTGCTCTGTTTTGGCCCATGCCAGCTTAAATCTACATAATTAAAATAATGTTCTTAAAAAGTCAGGTGGCACAGCGAAGCTTCCGAGACTGCCTGCCCCACTTGGAGGCCCTGTTTGCCTCAGTCATACAACGGCCTGTATCACAACATGTTGTAGTGACAGAATGTGAAAGGAGTGATTCACGTAGTACAGCAGGGAAGTGAGTGAGAGGAAGGCCAAATGGACAACACAGACTCCTAATTCCACAGAGTCAGTAGCCAGAACTCTATGCAGTGTCTTATCTGAAAACATAGGCCGACAGAGCAGAGATCGATTGAGTTTTCAGAAAACGGGTGTAAAGGAGAGCAAAACCAATACAGCACTGAGCCAGATAAATAACAACAGAGGCTTTAATGGGGGCACAGCTGTTCTTAACTAGCTTACTTCTATATCAACAAGAAATAATCTGAATTTAAGTAACAAAACTGGCAGGAAACTGAGTGAAATGGAGATGTGTGCTCTGCAGGGCAAAAGAGAGCTTTGTCCTTGGAAGAAATGTGAGGCTACTCAGTTTTTCACCAATGTAAGATCTTTCAGGCAGCCCCCTGACAACAGGATTTGTCTGGGAGATTGAAATAAACCCTGTGGCAGATAACTGTGGTTTTTATTGTGCACTTGCTCCCCCAGGAACAGGTGCCTCAGAGCAGCTGTGCCTAGAAAGAAGCGATGGAAAAGGACCGCTCTGCCGACCACAGAGGAAATCTTTTCAGTGACAAATGGAGCAAATATCGTGCATCTCTGCATACGATAAACCAGGCATATGCCTTAATCAACCACGAAAGCATCTGCACCTTTTCTGATAGCCACGTTCCCTCTGCAGGACCTGATAAGCAAAGCTCTGGGGGTGACAAGAACAGGATTACTTCTTTAAACCCAACAAGCTGTCAGGGTCACACATCACCAGCCGGTAAAACATGATATCTTCCCCCTCCATTTCTAAGATTCTGATTATGCGGCTTCCAATATATTACTAGGCAAATTGACAGCTTCCTTTTCAACCCTCTTTATTACACTGATGCTCTTTCGATAGCAGATTCACCTAGGAGGAGGAGAAAAACTGGAGGATGTTGTATGACAGCCCATTTGTGTAGCTTGCCCTTCTGTTCTTTAATTCTAATTCAATCAAGCTGTATTGAATTAAAAGATAACATTGTAACATTTCTGGTTGGATGTTTTGTATTGATAACAAAAAGCCCTACTACAAAGGATGCTGGAATGCAGATGAACCACTGAGCCGTACAAACACGTACTGTACACGCATGAGTTGTTATAGGTAGAAGAAAGGCTGATAGCCAGAGAAGTTTGCAATCAGTTCAAATGTCCCATGTCTACATCAGGAGACAGAGAATCCCACTCGTTTCTACCTTCAGGATTTACCCAGCTACTTCAAGAAAAAGGGTAATTGGATTGCATAGTGCAAAATAGCCTTGGCGAGCTGTGAATGATCAGTGTCTTTCTGCTGATAGGAGAATTTTTAATGCAGTAAAAACTTCTGTCAGACAACAGGGATAGAAGGAATGTTGGCATATAAGTCCTCCTCACTTAACAATCTAATAGAGAGTGGTCAAAGAACCTAAATGTCAATTTTAGAAACATCATGTTCCTTTCTGTTTCACTGATGGAAGCTTCAACTGAGTCTATGAGCCTCCTTTTACTCACTGGATACAACCCAGCATCTTGTGAAATTGATTATATATCACTATATATGCATGTATGTCCTCATTCTTTCCATTAAAAAAACAAGAACACCTTCTCCAGTGAATAAGGGAAAAGGAAGGAAAATTTTGCCCCTCCATTTTCCCCCCCAGCCTTCAAAATATGTTGCTCTTGCAGGTAAGTTTATGATTGAATGGAGCAACATGTTCCTGGAAAAAACAATTTGGAAATTACAGATCAATAGTAGGGAAAAGGTTAAGCATATATTTGTTTGTCCAATAAAAGGCAATTATATATTTTAAAAATGTATTACTTTAACACTAGATATGATGAAAGATTCAAAATGTAAAACAAAATAAAGAATATTTTCCACATATAAATCAATATATACAAAACAGTCTGGTAAAGTAGACAGTGATTAACTTTTGCTGGACAGATGAGAAATATACTAGAGAAACTTCTAAAGATACTTCTCCTAAAACTAATCTATTTCCCATTTTTATGAAAATGTAATAGAATGACCTTCAATGTGTCATGCAAACCCCCCGGTGGGAGGAAGAGATACAAATATTATAAATAATGAAAAGAAAACCTTCACTGTGGTGAGACGCTGTGAGGAAGAAGAAGAGGAAGAAAAGCAGGAGGAAGAGCAAATTCTACCCTACCGAGAATTAGGAATAGTACTGAAAATAAAACCAATGTATTATAGACTAATTACTTTTCATTTACCACCTATTCCTTGGAATACATTATTTAATTAAGAACACTGTTTTATTATATTTTAATTAGTATTTATTGTTGTTTTTATTGTAAACCGCCCAGAGTCACTCTTTGAGTGAGAAGGGAAGTGACTAAATATGAAATATAAATAAATAATAATAACGCTCTTATAAAAATTATTATTGGAGATATTACAATACTATTATTACTGCTAGCAGCAGTAATATTTACTAGGAACATTTATTGAGGCACAGTACAGACCAAACAACACCATAATTACAAAATGTTGTCCAACAGAATAAGTTCAAAACTTAACAACCAACCCTAAAAACTAATATTTAGAGCAAATAATACATAATAGCCATAAAATAACATTATACAACACGTACTCCCCTGAAAGCCTGAATATTTATACTTACTTACTTACTTAGTTATTAGGATTTATATGCTGCTCCAATCCCAAAGAACTCTAAGTGGCTTAGGAGCCCTCAAGAAGGTTAAAAGCAAACAAAACAACATGATATAATTAAATTACAAATGCAAAAATCTTGGCACTCGATATTTACACATTTTATATTCATCTTACACCATAACTGCAGGCTATGTAAATGAAAATTTGGTGGCATAAGAACACAGTACACTAAACAGAGTTATTAATAAAGATTAGTAACCTCTTACACTTGATTTTTCGAAGTGACAAAAAACTAACAGCAAAAATACCTTATGGCATGGTAAGTATATACATCAACAGTTTAGCTGAACAAACCCATTTAGAAGCAAGACCCAATTCTTTTAAAGAACTTCCTTAGGCAATCTATCATTGATTTAGTGGTGGTGAACATACCGGCCTCCTCTTGTACAGCAAGTATATAAAATGCAGAAGATTGACAACAAGGAATACCGTATTCCAGATCATCATATCCACAGCACAACGGAAAAGGGTTGCCCAGATGATAAAAAGTACACACCCTGCCAAAAATAAAAATGCACCAAATTATTAGGCACACAACTCTGCCATCCCTAATCCAGAAAACTAAGTACAGCAGAGCGTTGTGAATGAATTTGCTTATCTTCCATAGGACGGGCGACCAAGGGAAGGCTAATGATGATGGTAGTAAGAACATTGAAGACTATGCCTGGGAAACAAGGCAGGTTATAGCTATACGGAAGAACACCACCCACATTTGACTAGAAGCGTAGTCCGAAAATGAAATGGTTCATTTATATTTTTAAAGTATTTATAGATTGTTTTTCTACGCATAGCCAAAGCACCTTACAAAAAAAATCAAACAAAAGCAGCAGAAATAGAGAAATAATTTTTAGACATATATTATAGTAGATTCTCAATTACAGTAGATTCTCAAGGGTGTAATGTTTGAGTCTTATATTGCTTTGCTTACCTATTGATAGCATAGCTCGTAAGACAATCATATGGAGATTGAAAGTAGTTGGAATAACCAACCCAACTGCAAAACAAATATTGGCCATATGAAAAACAAGGTGATGGATCTCTTTCCAGTTTTCACATACAGTTTCATTCAAAGGCACAGAGGTGGCATTTCTGAAGTCCAGGCTGAAGTTCAAAGGGGTTGTGGTAATTGGACTGGCTTCTATGGAGTTCATCTTGAAGCAGCCTGTTAAGAAGAAACATTGCCAGATTGCACTTGCAGCATGACTCAATAGCCCTCTTTTTGCAAGAGGGCTGAAAGGGGACAATATCCTGAGAGCTTGAAATGTTACACATGGAACAAGTTGAAAAATGTCTGTGTCTTCACTTAATTTTTTTTAAAAAAATAAAACCAACTCTTGTATTTATCAGAGCTAGCTCAATCGTGACAAACTGTGTGCTCTTATCTATGTCATTCTGCATACGTGAAGTGTGTTCAGCAAAGTAATGGGTATAGCTTTGGCACTCAAGTAACTGTTAGCAGAGAATACTTAAAATAAAGTTAGAGTTCTCTTATCTCTCCCACACCTATCCAACTGCCATGTAGCTGTGACATTAAGCAGCACTACTAAATATAGTACCTATTGCAATGCTGAATAGCAGATAAGAAGCAAAAGACTACACAATTTTTTGACAGCCAAGTTTTAAGGGCAACAAAAAAAATTACTTAATTTTCAAACATAACATAATTATGGGTAATCTATCTGACTCCTCAGAAAACTGTCCACTTATGAATATCAGCAAGGGGATTCAATATACATCTAGTCTATGATATATGTCCTAGTCAAAAATTAGATATTTTTTCTATACTGTATGCAATAAATTTGATAGTGATTTTCTCAAAAATTCTTTAGTTTGTGCATCCACAAACATGCATATGTGACTTGCATTCAACTTATGCTGAATATTTAGGTAACATTCTATTAGAATGCAGAATTCACTACTGTCTGTATTTTGTCTTGCATTACTTTTCTCATACACAATGCAGATTTGTTTTTGATGGACAACAGCTTCAGTTGGAAAAAAAGTATTACTGAACTTCACAGCAATTCCTTGAATGTTTGGAAAAATTCTGAAGTTGAGTGGGAAATAACCATAGGCTGGGGGTAGGAGATACAGTGGATCTTTCTCTACATGTGTAGAATGCTATTTTCAAACAGAAACTAAAAAAGGATGATTTTAGTCGGGAAAATGTCTTACAGAAGAAAGTTGAACCTACCCAATGAAGCTGCTAGACAACTGCAAAACTCCCTGAGTCTGTTCTAAAGGAAGAACCCACAACCTCAGAAGTCAATCCACCCAGATACTGTGCATTTCTACTTTGGCCCTTACGTCCAGAAAAAAATAAATACAGCATGACCTACTTCACACTATGCCTGGGTTCATGATATTAAGCTGTAATGGGGCGCCATGCAACGGTTTAACCAGATCTATGTAGCCAGACAGTAATAATGTTTAAGTTAAGTGCCTTAGATACATTTCTACTATGCAAATAGATGGTTTATTTTAAGGTGTTATTCTGGAAGTGAAACAAAAAGAAGAGATAACAAGTGAACTTTCAGCATCATGAAATATTGATCCCCAACCTGACAGATATACTGGCAGTTTTATTTATTTATTTTATTAACTTTATTACAGTCAATTAGACCAGTACAATTATACTGGCAGTTAGAAAAATTCCCACTGGATACCATACAGGTAGTCCGCAGGTTAAGAATGGCCTGGTTACAGACGACCCATAGTTCGGGTCGACGGAGTCTTATTGTAGCAGAATTTGAGTTTAAATACACAGTGATTGGAGTTAAATACACAATGGTTCAAGTTCATTACACAATACTACTTATACAGTATTATA